AGCCAGCATCCACAAGGGCAGGGAAGGTGCAGCTTGCCTACAGGCACACATTTGCACACATGAAGCAGCAGGTGAAAACAGGAAATAGGTCGAGGCTACAAACCCTTAAATCCCACTCTCCTGTGACACACTTCCTCCAGCAAGACCCCGCCTCCTAAAGGTTCCATAACCTCCCCAAACAGCACCACCTGCTGGGGACCAGGTGTTCAAACATGAGCCTATGAGGGACATTTCTCGTTTGAACCACTGCATAACTCTCTAGATTAGAGAAATGGCTGGTGATTTCCTATTTCCAGACCAATGAATCTGGTTCCATCTTTTGTTTAAAGTCTTGGGTACTGGAGTTGGCCCACACTGTGACATAGGTCAGAACGGCTAGGATTCAGCCCAGGGCCATTCATGAACACATCTGACTCCCTGGCTGTGCCCACCCAACCATTCCCTTCTACCTTCACATCCTAGTTCCCCTGGAGATGAGTGTCTTCCTCCGAGAGCACCTCAACTACTGGTACAGCCTGAAGGCCTACTACCTGGCCAAGACCATGGCTGACGTCCCCTTCCAGGTACGTGAGCCACCAGTGACTGGCCATAGGGGACGGGAATTCTCCACACCCACAGAGCTGGGTGGGACTGGTTTCCACTAGTGTTCTACTGAGAGGCAAAGTAGGGTTTGGTGGGATCTGTGGGGTCTGTGAGCGAAAGGGCCACCGGAGACAAGTGTTCACTGGTGGGACAAGCAGAGCCCCCAGGGACACAGGCTCTGTGCTTGCAGATCATGTTTCCCGTGGCCTACTGCAGCATCGTGTACTGGATGACATCACAGCCGTCAGACGCCGTGCGCTTCGTGCTGTTTGCCGCCCTTGGCACCATGACCTCGCTGGTGGCCCAGTCCCTAGGCCTGCTGATTGGAGCGGCCTCCACATCTCTGCAGGTACAGCCCAGGAGGTGCTGGACAGCACTGGGCTTCCCTCTGCCTCTATGAGGCTCCCCGGTCCCCGTACCCTTACTTCTGTCCTGGACTTCTGGAAGTCTTCACAAAGCTGTTCTCATAGGAATAAGTGACATTGCCCTCAGTTGTCAGGACAGCCTTCTTACTGAGAAGTGAGAGACATGCAGAGTGATTGTGCCCACACGCTGCAAAACCCAGACATGAGTAGTCTACACACTGCACAAACCCAGACATGAGTAGTCTACACACTGCACAAACCCAGACATGAGTAGTCTACACACTGCACAAACCCAGACATGAATAGTCTACACACTGCACAAACCCAGACATGAATAGTCTACACACTTCACAAACCCAGACATGAGTAGTCTACACACTGCACAAACCCAGAATAAGTAGACTACACACTACACAAACCCAGACATGAGTAGTCTACACACTGGACAAACCTAGACATGAGTAGTCTACACACTGCACAAACCCAGACATGAGTAGTCTACACACTGCACAAACCCAGACATGAGTAGTCTACATACTGCACAAAACCAGACACAAGTAGTCTACACACTGCACAAACCCAGACATGAGTAGCCTACAAACTACACAAACCCAGACATGAATAGTCCACACACTGCACAAACCCAGACATGAGTAGTCTACACACTGAACAAACCCAGACATGAGTAGCCTATAGTGCACATGTCCAGACATGAGTAGCCTACAATGCACATGCTCAGACATGAGAAGCCTACAATGCACATGCTCAGACATGAGTGCCCTGCAGTGCTTTCTAAGTGTCAGCATATGTAGTACCAAGCACACCCCAGAACCCCATTTTACAGGTGGGGAAGACTAAGGACCAGAGATGCCTCGATTGGCTGGCATTGCACAGCTGGTGTAGAGGCCAAGCTCTCCATACCTCTGCTCTTGCCTCTGTAGGTCCACTTGACCACTCTGTGGCACTCCAATGGTGGGCACCCACTCTTCACCCCACCCTGGGCCTCACATAGCCGTCCTCTGTCTCCTTGAACCTGGTCTCATCTCCAACCCCCAGTTACCTCCCTGTCCTTACAAACCAAAGCCACCGCAGGCTCTTGAGGCTCCATGCCATGCGCCAAGGGCTCCTGGGTGCCACATGCTTCCCAGTTCACCTCCAGTTCCTCAACAATGGCTCCCTGGCCTCCAGGGTCCAGGTTCCTCACTCAGAGGTGGGAGCAGCCATGGTGTCTGCCTCATAGCATTGCCATAAGAAGACAACACTCTGAAGAAAGGTCTGGGACATACCAGCCCCAGATCAGGCTCGCAGAACAACATCTGTCACCCCCATGTGGACCTCCCACCCCAGTGTAGCTCATGTACCCACAGGTCGGAACCATGCTGTCCTCATAGATGGCTTTACCCCTGTGTTGGCCGTCCCCACCACTTCACCCTCTCAGACCCTTGTCCACCCTTCCTCTGAGAGCTTTGCAGCCCAGGGAGTCTATCTGACTAGGTGCTGGATGTCCTTTAAGCTTGTGTACACACAGCATGTACAGCACACACAGCATGCTCATCACCTCTATACTCTAGACTCTTTCCCTCGGAGCCTGGCCAGTGGCAACAGCTACTTGCCAGTCTGCCAGGTAGGGCCTTCCAGTGGGTCCCATGGGCTCCTTGAAACCTGCCTCTGGCATTTTGTGCCACTTCTGGTTGGTGACAGCATCTCTCCTTCTAGGTGGGACCCCTAGAGAGGTGTCCCTACCCAATTGTCAGCTCCAGAGACAGCTCTAAATTGTTCACTACAGTCCCTCAAACGTCATTCCCAGCAAGTGTTGGCCTCTGTCCTCAGGACATAAATGTTTATTTTGTTCAGTCCCCTTCCTCAGCTGAGGTTACAGGCAGGGTCCCTCTTCAGGAGATTAACTTCTGGCCCTTCCAGGGAACATTCTTGGCCATCTTCCTGGTCTTGGCCAGCCCAGGAAGACACTGGCCCTTTGAGATTCCTCCTTTCCAGCCACTGGGGATGTCCCCAGGGTCACCTGAGTGGGTGGGATATCCTCCGCCCCCTCCAGTGAGTATTCTTCATGTCTCCATCCTGTCTCTCTCCAGGTCGCAACATTTGTGGGTCCTGTGACTGCCATTCCTGTCCTGCTCTTCTCAGGATTCTTTGTCAGTTTTGACACGATCCCAACCTACCTACAGTGGATGTCCTATATCTCCTATGTCAGGTACACATGGGCAGTGGTGGTGGAAGGAGCAGGCCCAGGAATTGAGTGGCTGGTGAGGGAAGGAGGGACTCACAAAAGCCACTGCCTGGCTGCCCACTGAATCTGCATCCCGACTCCAAGAATATGCCTTCATGTTTTCCTTAGTTGGCGCCTCTCCTCCCCAGTGCACACAGGTGCACACAGACTCAGCCTCTGAAGATGCTGTGACATGCCCTCACATTCTGGCCATTTCCAAGGGTGCGTCCCTATTTTATGTAAAAGTGCCACAGTGAGATCCTGATTATAAAACCTAAACAAGGCACAACAAAGGCGCATTGTGTCCTCTCTGAAACATCTCAGCGCCTTCCAGCAGGAGTTTCCTGCTCTTTGGGTCCAGGGTCTAGCCCTCTGCTGAGTGGCTCTGCACACTGGCCATTCCCTGGGCAGTCCTTAGTACTTGGCCTGTGTCCTCATTCCCACCCCCAGCTGCAGCCATTTCCCTGCACCACAAAGGTCCATGCTGAGAACAGTGCTGCTTTCCTTGAGTGTCAGCTTAGGCCCCTTTGCATTGTTCAGGAGAACAAGACAGACACAAAGCCCTTGTACAGAGTTTCAGCTGCCCGTGCGCTTGCCAATTCTGGGAAACCAGAGACCAGCGCCTTTCTTCTAAAGATTGGTGCTTTTGTTCTGCAAGACAAGGCTGGACCGGCGGGGGCTTTATTTATATGTGCCGGTGTTCTCGCCACGATATCCAACTCATAACTAGACCTAACAGTGAAAAGGTGTGCAGGATTGGAAGGAAGCCAAATACAGTTTTTTTATTTATTGCCCCAGTGGATTAAATATAGTTCCTTCCATTTTGCATATTCTCTGGTGGCCTTGGAAGAAACAGGTTTGGAAACAAAGGTAGGAGGCTGCTAGGGTGTTGTCTTAGGAAGATGGCTATGAAGTCAGGAAGCAGTGCACAGGAGGGGGCCCCTGAGAGAGGAAAGCCAGCAAGCAGAGTGACCTTCCGCAACGGATTCCCTTCACACCCGTTGCTGCTCTTTCTAGATACGGCTTCGAGGGGGTCATCCTCTCCATTTACGGCTTAGACCGGGAGGATCTGCACTGCGACATTGCTGAGACGTGCCACTTCCAGAAGTCAGAGGCCATCCTGCGGGAGCTGGATGTGGAGAATGCCAAACTGTACCTGGACTTCATCGTCTTAGGCATCTTCTTCGTCTCCCTGCGGCTCATTGCCTATTTTGTCCTGAGATACAAAATCCGGGCCGAGAGGTAAAACACCTGCAGGCCGGCAAGGAGGCAAAGCAGACATTGTGACCAAGGGCACTGCTGGGAGGCAGCAGTGTACCTGCTCCTGGTGACACAGACTCTCCCGACCTAACCTGGAGGCCACGCAGGTCGATGGTGACCAGTGCTCAGCGCCTCCGCCCACTGGGTTGGAACTGTTCGTTTCCTTTTCTAGCTTTAACTAGGAAGAAGTAGGACGGTTGGGGTTTTTTACATGCAGGATTTAAAACACAACTGGCACAGAATGTCATCCTGTGGTCTAGCTGGGGACAAGAGGCTTCCTCAGTAGATTCCTCCTGGACTCCAGGACGCACTGGCCCTGGATGAGCAGTGTTGGCCATGTTGGTTCCCCAGAGAGGTGGATATCCTGGGGAAAGTCCACACATGCAGGAGTCCGCTTGGTGACTATCGTTTCTTATGATTTCCATCTTTCTAAAGTTCATCTCATTTCTGATGAAGTCACTTTCCGAGCCAAAGTCGATAAATTTCATTCATTTTGAGAGATTGTATCTTTTCAGTACTTCTTGAGGACTGATTCAGGGTGTGAAAGGTGTGTTTTGCTTAGAAATAGAAGAGTCCCACGTAGCCACCAAGTGGGGCTCATAGACACAACCACAGAAGGTCAGACGTGGGCTCCAGGCGAGGAAGACCACCATACCAGCTGCGCTGGGCCGGCAGGGACTAAGAGTGATGCCAACAGTGCTGAGGGGGATGCTAGCAGGCTCTTTCCAGACCTTTCTTTCTCACATGTTTCTATTTTAAGCAAAATAGATGATGTCTTCCTAGTTTTCTGGCCACTTTCATTTTGCCCAAAAAATACATAGGTCAATTTTGTTGATTTTTAAAGAACATTTTCCCTTTCTTCATGAATCACATTAACTACCTCCACTGAGCCTGGGAAGCCGGCCGGGGACACATTAGGTGTGTCCCTCGAAATGCAGGGGGTGGCAAGGGGGCACCGGTGAGGGGCAGGCCGGCTAAGTCAAAGGGGAGGTGCCATGGATGTCCCCTTTATGAAAACACAGCTGCTTGCTTCTAGAGCGCCGCCATCCTGGGATGGAGTCTCCTGCAAAAGCCTGTATTGTTATGGGTGGGTCTGTTTACCCCTGTGAGCCTCAGTTTCCACGCCTGTAAGTAATTGCACTAGATGATGTTCTAGCAGGTCCTGAGATTCCTCGGTTGTGGCCTTGAAGTTTTCATATCTTACTTGTAGAGAATGATAAGGGTCCGAATTTTACTTAAACGCATGGATGTGCTTTGGAAAATATTTAGAGATTCTTTTTATTTTTTTCACTCCTAGATCTTTTATAGAAAACACAATTGAAATGCATATTACAATGTAATTTTCAGTTTGCTTGTTCTATACAAACATGGCATTGCCTTCTAGATTCAGCTTTTAACCAGGGACATGATCCGCCTTTATAAAAAGTCTTCATTTGAAAAAGAAAAAAGTCTTCATTTAATTTCAAGATGTTAGGTATCGCATATCTCATCCAGAGCGGAACTGTGCACTGTCGGCTGAGAGTGTTAAAAGGGAGCTGGGTGGTCAGATCTCAGACTTGTTGAGGTCAGAGCCAAAGAACCCATTCCTCCTGTGTCTCCACTTACCGGTTAATGTAACGGGTCATGCTTGGCAGGACGTGCCAGGGGCTGAGTTTCTCCACTAAGACTGCTCTGAGTCCAGTCAAAGAGGCAGAGGCAGAGGGCCATGTTTCATATCTGGAAGAGTGCCTCACCCTCTGGAGGAGTTCTTTCCTGTGCAGGCCACTGTGAACAGCTTGTCACCACCCCTGAGTAAGTGAGGGTGTGATGAGGTCCTTCCATAGGGCAGAGTCTGAGCTCACGACACCAGAGCTGGTCGGCTGCTGACTGGCAAGATGGCAAGGGCAGTTGTGAAAGGACATTAACCAGAACAGACATGGGATCAGAAGTCACTCCGCAGGACAGCACTGCTCAGTTGTTCTGCAGACCTGAGGAAAGCTAACAGCCATACTAGGGGATGCTACATCCTTGTCCCTCATCCAGTGTCCACAGGTGCCCAGGTGTATGGCTCTGCCTACCACCATACATAGCCTGGATTCCAGAGACAAGTCTGGATTTTCTAGATCATTCCCTTTTCTTCCTCTTCCTGTTTGTCTCTGTCGTGGCAGGAGGTATCCGGTGGTGTGTGCCCTTCCTGACTTTGATGTTAAAGTCAAACTTCCCTTGCAGTTGGGTTCCATGTGACTCTAAGGACCCAGGCCTTCCTTTTATCTCTAGCTGAGTTCCTTCTATTGACAGGAAGGGTTCCATCAGGAGGCTACACCACCTCCTCATGTTAGCAGAGTAAAAACAAAAGTCCAAAGACTGCATTTTCAGGGACCTCATCCAAGAGTGAGGCCTGTGGGGCTCTACCAGGCTGAAGTTCAGACAAGGCTGGGTGCAAGGGTGGGGCTGCTATCCTCTGTCCAGCCCCCCTCCTTTGTCCATCCTGTCCCACCTCCTCCCCTGGCCTCTCCTGCTTCTGCCCTTTGTGAAGAGAGAGTTGAACTCTCCAGGGGTTCCCCCAGGGAGAGGAAGTAGATGCTAGAATCTTCCTTCCTCGTGGGGCGGGGGGGGGGGGGCACCATTAAGACCAGAAAATGGAACATACAGCTTTTTGGTAAAACCACATCTTAGAAGCCCAAAGAAAGGTCATTTTATCAAGGGCAGACAACAGAGGGGCAAAACGCCTCTGGGTGTGTCCGTGAGAACAGTAAAACAGTGGAGGTGACCACCTTCCTCCGGGAGTGTCTGGGCACTGTGCAGCCCCATCTGACTTCTCCATCCTCCAAACCTTCACTGAGCTGCTTTCCCTGTGTCATTTCAAACCCTGGGTCAGGGAAGGCACCTTTCTCAGGCCTGGTCTCAGTGGGCAGCCGCTTCACTCTCCTTATCCATGTAGCGCTGAGGCGGGGAGGGGCTGGCAAGGGGCCGAGGGGCCCCTGCTCTCTGGCTTTTCCAGCTGTCACTGTTCAAACAGTGTAAACAGACCGGGAGTGCTGAGACACCAGTGTAACACCAGTGCAGTAGCTGTCTACTCGGTCACTCGTTCTACCACTGAAGAGGAGGCCAGGATGAGAGGCCAGTCTGCTCTTTGTCAGAGGGGACTTACATCCAGGTGCCCACCATGAATGTCACTAGCCCACCTCGGGGCCTACCTCGCCTGTGTCTTAGTGGAGGTGGTCCTGTTCTCTCCTGTCTGAGCTTCCCAAGGCAACAGTAGTGGACCACTTCAGGTCAGAGACACAGGTGTGTCCATGCACTTGGGCTTGAGTGTCTATACATGAATTTGCATGCACGCTCGTGTGCAAGCTCATATGTGCACACGTGCAGGCCTGCTCCACACATGTTGGATCGTGTCATTCTGTGTCTCTCCCTTCGTGTCAGCCTCCAAGCCCTTCCCCATCACCTTTACTCCAAGGAGGAACAAGAAAATTCATCTGTGCCTGTGGTACAATGGGAAATCCATTGAGGCTATTGATAGACACCAGCTAACGGAAAGGCAAGCAGAACCCAGCCGGGGAGCTTGACTGTGGACTGTGTCAATATAAAGTTACACACTTGGAAGAAATAAAGACTGCAAATAAAATATTTTATATAAAATTTTTACAGGCATTCAGTGTCAGATCCGTGTTTCCACTGTCCGAAAATGCATGCTCTGCCCGGTAAGAGTTCTGATTGGCTGCATGGGCCAATCAGAGTCGGCCTGCTCTCTCCAGCACTTTCTATGCATCTGTCTTTAAGTTGTGTTCCCCTAGATGTCCCCTGACCCATGTACTCTGCTGTGATCATGTGGCCATGGTCTCCAGCATCACCAGGTGAGGTTCGAGCCCCTGGAACATGAAGGCTGTCACCACGGCAACCCCATAGGCACAGCCAATACAGCCCTGCCCATTGCTCCTCCCATGCTCTAGGATTGGGGCGGCTGCATCAGGAAGTGTCCTGCTCAGGGCTCTGCTTCTGCAGGAGATAGGTTTTTGGGCTTACGCTTGGGTTCTGGGAAGCAGATGCTTGTCAGCCAGGAAGCCCTCTTGTGGCTGTGTGTGGTCCTTTTGAGATCTGGGCTCCCAAGCTCTCAGCCAGGTGACCTACTGGAATTTAACTTTTGAAGAACAGCAGTGGCCTAGGGCCAAGGTTTCAAACTACACTCATTCCCATCTCCATGATACAGCAGAGACCCTGATGGGTAGGTCAAAAGGGTACACTCCAATGTCTCCTGCAGTGTCCTACAACATGGGAGAAAGGGTGGCAAGTTAGCATGGTGAGTGTGGCCCAGGCTTGGGCATTCTCTCTTGTCCATTGTTGGGTATTACCTGGGCATGGGCATGCCCTCCTGTCCATTGTTGGGTGTGGCCTGGGCATGGGCATGACCTCCTGTCCATGTCTCCCTGTGTCCTCTTGTTTCACTAGGCCACCTACCCTCCTGAGGTCACCTCACAGTACAGAGTTAAGCCTCCTGGTGGTTCTGAAACAAACCAACTGAGGGAATACACTCAGGACCCTTAGGGGATACCTGGATCTCAGTGCCGCTGCAGATGCCCCCAGATGTACTCTGATGTACCTACGACAAAGTTATTTCTAAATTAGAGACAGCAAGAGATTGACGGCATTCGCCACTGATAGTTAGAGTGGTCTTGACAATATGCTGTATTAAAAGTTGGGCAAATATGGTCTCCCTCCCACTGTTTCAAAGTAACTTCAGTATTTTCTGATCATGGTTGACCATGGGTAACTGAAACTGGACAGGTTAGACAAAGGTGCCCAAGACGCCATGAGGAGATGACACACCCCTGACTCTGTGCGAGTCTTAAACTCCCCGGTGACCATTCAGTGCCCTGCCCTTTCCTGCTTCCATCCTGCAGAGAAGTGATTTGTCTTGAGCCCCACTTCCCATTGTCTCTGTGCCAACACTGCCCCTTTCTCTAGCAAATGTTTGCAGCTTTTGCAGGGTGCTAGAGGCCAGCGAGGAAGCCAATCCTATGTGCAGTCTGCATGATTGATTCCAAGGGGCAGGGGCTATGCTGCGGCACTGATACCTGTGCAACCTCAGGACCATCCCTGGCATCAAGGGGAGACAAGAGTCTAACCATGTGTCTCCCCCATCCTGGTCATCAGTGGGTGCAGCCCCAGGTCCCTCCAGCTCAAATGATCACTGCAAAGTAGAGAGCCAGGAAAGCAAGGAGAAAGGCCCCCTTATTTGACACAAATGCAGAGCTGCACAAGCCCATACCCTGCTCTATAAGGCTTCAGGTGTCTCGGAGGCACAGGTACACTCTGGGGCTCTCTGACTCAGAGTTGTGCCTCTCTCTCTAAGATGCTGTCATAACACTCCCGCCACCTCTGTCTTTCAGGTCCACGAGTAATGTCACTGAGATGCGTTTGGGGACAGCCTTTCCACCATGAGATCTTGCAAAGGGCATGAGCCCACTCCTGTCTTACGGTTTCTGTTGCTGTGATGAAACACCATGATCAAAGCAACTTGGGGAGGCAAGGGCTTATTTGGCTTGTTTCCATACCATTGTTCATCACTGAAGGAAGTCAGGGCAGGAACTCAAACAGGGCAGGAAGCTGGAGGCAGGAGCTGATGCAGCTGATGCTTATTCCCCATGACCTGGCTCGCCCAGGACCACCAGCTCAGGGATGATACCGGGCACAATGGGCTGGGCCTTCCTTATCAATCACTAAGAAAATGCTCTATGGGCTTGCCTACAACCCTATCTTGCAGAGGAATCTTCTCAATCGAGGTTCCCTCCTCTCAAATGGTTTTAGTTGGTATTACGTTGACATAAAACCACCCAACACAACTCCATAGGCAGAGCAGCAAACCTTGGTATGAACCCATGGCTCCTTCAATGAGGTCTCTCAATGCAGCAGTGCTGGTCAAAGACCATGCTTCTCAACCAGTGGGTTGTAGCCTAAGACCATTGGAAAACACAGATATTTGCATTACCATTTATAACAGTAGCAGAATTACAGGTTGAAGCAGAAATGAAAATAGTTTTATGGTTGAGGGTCCACAACATGAGGAATTTGTATTAAAGAGTCACAGCATTGAAGTTGAGAAGCGCTGGCCCAAACCTTCCTCCCCTGAACACACCATACAGCAGCTCTCAAAGCTCCCAGCAAGCTCTTCTAAATGGAGTTGCTGGGTAGGAGAGGAGGCAGGCTCACCTTTTTGTGGGCTGTCACCCCTCCTAGGGAACCTGATAGCCACATCCTTTGCTGGGTGAGATGCATCCTGCTCTTTAAGGACAATGACAAATGCATGTAGGTGCCCAAGGGTGCCCTCTAGTGGCCACGGGGTCGCACACTCTGTGTGGAGCAGATCTGGGAGGCAGATTAGGGTTGGAGATAGGATAGGGAAGAGGGTTACAAGTTGGAAAGGCTGCTGTGACCAGGCCGATGGGGGCAAGGACAGCTACAGAGAAAAACAAGTATTAATCCCTGTACCCAGAGAGAAGGCTGGAAACAGAACATGGTCAGCCTGGAAGAGAACTAGCCACCTCAAAAGTGACAGGCAGGATCCCGGCAGCACACACTCAAATCTCAGAGCAGAAACTCAGATTCTGCCAGAGTGGAAAATTAACAGAGAGGGGTGGGGGGTTGATAGTCACACTATTTGTTCTTTTTTGTTTGTTTGTTTGTTTTGCTTTCTTGAGGCAGGATCTTGCTATGTAGCTCTGCCCAGCCTGTATGTAACTTATTGTATGACTAAACAGACTTTGAATTTGCAGGATACTTCTGCCTCTGCCTCTGCCTCCCCACTGCCTCTATGGTATCAACCAATTTATTGAATCTCCCTTTATAGTATACACTCATTCTGTTCCTCTAGAGAACCCCAGCTAACACAAACACACATGTGTGCGGGAGCACACACACACACACACATACACACACACACACACACACACACACACGGTACCCTCTCCACATCACATTCCATAATCAAGTCTGCACACAAACTTTTGAAAACATCATTCATTCCTATTAAGTATGAGAAGTGAAGGGATAAGCTACTTAATGAATATGCATTGGTATGACCACACCCCAGGGGATGTAATGAGGGACCAGGATGCCAGAGCAGAGCCCCTGCACAAGATCACCAAAAGCAGGAGCCCTCACATGCTGTGTGGGCAGCTGTGAAGTGTGGAATCACTACACTGGAAAGGACACCTTGCCTATAGCTCCATGCTAGGTTAATGCAGGACACTGTGACCAGAAAACAAAAGCAGCTTCCTTGACTATTTTATTCTTTGTCAACTTGACTTGAGGTTGATTGGTATGGGAAGAGGAAACCTCAATTGAAAAAATGAGACTCGCCTGTGGGCAAATCACTGGGGTATTTTATTGATGACTGATTGATATGGGAGGGAGAAGCCCACTGTGGTACTGCCACCTGTAGGCAAGTGGTCCTGGGTTATATGAGAAAGCAGGCTGAGCAAGCCATGGGGACCAGCCAGGAAGCAGCATTTCTCCATGGCCTCTGCTTCAGTTCTGGTTCTAGGATCCTGGCTTAAGTTCCCTCAATATGGACCTTAACCTGTAAACAAATCAGCTTTTCCTCCTGGGTTGTTTCAGGTCATGGTGTTTATCAGAGCAACAGAGAAACAAACTAGGGCATAACCTATGTCATGATGCAATATATAGCGGGGCCTGGATTCAAATCATGACAACAGGTTTGCAGCCACCATGAGCACACAGGACCCTGGATAATCACAGGCAGAGGCAGGACTCTATTGGAGGACACTTGGCACATCACAGACTTTCACCATCGATGGCCTGTGTCCACACGTTCATATGACACTCACAAATGCACCCCAAGTTTCCAAACACCCAATTCAGTAAGGCTATGTCTCTGAGCCCTAATCCACCCCAAGCCCTAGACAGGGAGCAGCACAAATATGGGCTTGGATGGGGGATGCCTATCTTTGGCTTACCTGTGTCCCACAGCTCCCACAGGACAAAAAGGGCATGCTGCAGGGTGACACTGGACTTGTCAACCACATCCAGGAAGGTCTCAGCACCTTGCTGGCTCAAGTCACAGTGTCAGAGGGTGTATAAAAACCATAGGACACCACACAGTCCAAAGCCACTCAAGGAAATGGTTGGCTCAGGGTTGGGACTCTCTCAGGAGGCAGGGAAATTTAGGAAGCTAAAAAGTGGATAATAAGAGGTGAGGAGCAGCAGTCACTCCAGGCTGCCAGCAGAGGGCGGTGTGGAGCCATGTGAGTTCTACTCAAGGTTCTGATACAGTCCTGATGGGCTCACAGCTGCCTTCACTTAGGACTAGAAGACACTCCCAAAAATTCTAAGGAGAATGCCTGGGCTCCTGGAGCGTTGCCAGATTGCCTTCAGCTGAGCCCACACCACCTTTCCCGAGGCCCTGAATTCCCATGGCCAGGGAGGGCCAGGCAGAGGTAGATTGGTAGGTGCTGCAGGCAAAGGGAGATGAGGGCCAGGCCTGCTGCACCCCCAGGAGAGCAAAGGAAGTTCAGTGTACCAGTCCCACAGAGAAGGGGTGCCTCCCTCAGAGTGACATCGACCAGATGCTTTGAATAAGGACCAGAGAGTGACAAGATTCGGTTTTCTTCTATGAGCTTCAGACAGGAAGGTGGCCAGTGTACCTGAACTGTGACAGGTTAGTAGAGCCAAGCTGGAATGCTGAAGTTCAGATGCTATGAACCTTTACAAACAGCCCCTCTGGAACTGGGTTTACATTGATCTGTATGATGCAAACATGAACTTTAAGAGTCAGAGGTTTTCTAAAGGCTTGGGGGTGCTTAACCTCCAAAGACAACCAAATCAGACCTCCTACTTGTGTGTAAGGAGACAGAACCTGACCCCTCCTGCCAGCTTGGAAGGCCCTGAGCTGTTAACCCTGGCATGGGCCTTCTCCATCTGTCTCCATACACCCAGGGACTTCGGACTCCCCGTGGGGACCTCTGGGGCCCTGTTCTCTTATTTCCAGGACCTCTCTAATTGGATTTCTTTACAACACTGAGAGGACACCTCTGCAACAGGACACTAAAGAAGCTTGCCCCTATGCTTGGGTTTACTGACTAGTTCCCCTAGGTCCCTCCCTTCACCAAGCAGAGCAGGAACAAGGGTGAAGGAATCCAGGCACTTACCCCACATGACAATGTGCAGGGGACACCAGAAAGCTCAGTGCTCAAGCTCACACCTTCAGATACCGTTTAAAATTGAGACTCAGGCCGGAGACACAGTTTAGTAGTTAAGACTGAGATGAACCCAAAAGTGTCCTTCCTGGGCTTGGCAGGTAGACAGCTAGAAGGGCCACTTTGGATTCTAAACAGGGACATCCTGGCAACCCCACTCTAAGCCAGGGCTTGGGACATAATGTGTCCAGTTATATTTGAGCCTAGGGCAGTGACACTTCACTTCTGATGTGCTGCCCAGAGCTCTGAAGGTGGGAGTTCCCAAGTCCAAGGTCACTAAGCAGGGTAGGGACTAGGCTGAAGTGCTATGTAAACTATTCACCTTGCATGGAAATGTACAGAAAACCAGCCATCAAGTTAGATATCAGCATTTAAAACATCAAAAGTAATGCAGAGAGAGGCAACAAACAAAGTGTCAAAATTCTGCACTTGGATAACAGTGTCCCACTTGGACACTGTAATACTGGCCCTGCTCCCAATAAATCTTTATAAAAGCAAATAGGTGCCAGAAAGACAGGGGGCTTTGCCTATCATACAGGCTCAAACATCTGTCTCCAGACTTTGCTGTCTTATGAGGGCTGGATACCTACTGTTTCCCTTGTGCATCTGGGGTGTGACAGTCACTCTACCCGTCAGTCTGATAGGCTTTCTATGTGAAAAGCTGATTTGGGGCTTTTCAATTCCCAAAGATCACATTGAGTCATCATTCCAAGTGCACGGGGACCAAGGCCTTTTCCAAGGAGAAGAAACCATGGAACCCCAGCTCATCGAGAAGCAATGTTTTCTGGCCCCTGTGCTGTGTAATTGGGACATAGAGTAGCATGGATGATGTGGCCTCCAGAGGGTGCCCTGTGGGAGCCGAGCTAAGGATCAGCCATGCAGCACAAGCAGGAGCCTCCAAACTCGAAATCCCACAGTGGGCGCAGAGAAAGACACACAAGGAAATGAAGGTGGGGGACCAAACAGCTGAGGCACTGGGTAGGGATGTGAGATGCAGACCCTTGTTCTGTGCCTATTAAAAGCAGGGTGCACCTGTAGTGAGGCAGATGTTAAATAGATGAATACAGACAAGGACAGAATAGTAGGTGCTTTTCATAGTATGCTTTCTTAATAAGAAAGATGTAAAGGATTTGTAAATCTTGTAGGAGGGATGTTTTTTGTTTGTTGGTTGGTTGGTTTGTTACCTTCTCAGCTTAAAGAGAAAATGTGCTGCTGAAGGATCTACCTGCCTGCTGTCCTGGTTAGCTCTAACTCAATTTGATAGTCTAGAGTCACATGTGAAAGCAGTCTCAGCTGAGGGCATTTTGACATCAGATGGGCCTTCCTGGGACTGGGGCAGGGATTGTCTGTCTTGTTCATTGATGTAGAAGAGCACAACCCCCACCGGGCATTGGTGGTGCATGCCTTTAATCCCAGCACTTGGGAGGTAGAGGCAGGAGGATCTCTGTGAGTTCAAGACCAGCCTGGTCTACAAGAACTAGTTCCAGAACATCCTCCAAAGCCACAGAGAAACCCTGTCTTGAAAAACCAAAAAAAAGAAAAAAAAAGAAGAAGGAGGAGGAGGAGGAGGAAGATGAGGAGGAGGAGGAAGGAGGAGGAGGAGCACAGCCCACCTTGGGTCACACCATCTCTGGGATTTATAAGCAAGTCAACTGAGCAGGAGACCAAGATTGCCAGCAGGAGGCATCCTTCCTGGTTTCCGCTTCAAGTTCCTGCTTGAGTTCCCTCAGTGATGGGACTGTGACCTGGAAGGGTCAGCCAGATAAGCCCTTCCTCCCCAGAGTTGATTTATCTCAGAGTGTTTCATCACAGCAATAGAGGGAACTCAGAAGCTTGCCTTGAGGGCTCCTGGCTGGAGGCTCTGGCTCTCAGTGTGTTGCAGGAACTTAGGGTCAGTTCCCCATGACCCTGAGATAACCTGTCCTGAGTGTAATGTGACCCTTCACCACCAACACCCCAAGAATGACAGAAATATACACAAGAGCAGAGGTCTCAGCAATCAGAGCAGCCTTGTGCTGAGTGTGGGGTCTTTATTCTTCAGGACTCCAGGCTCTTATAATGGCCAGCAGCAGAGAGAGCAGAGCAGGGATGAGTGCTGCCCTCAGCCACACCTCCTGCAGGGGTCCAGGGTGCAGAGCTTCCTTCCCAGAGCTTGGATTGCTTCAAAATGTGCATTCTGGGAAGAAAAGAAAGGTCAAGGTGAATGGGTCATCCCCACCAGGGTTGCCTGGCTTACAAGACCAGCACCTGGCTGCCTTCTTCTGGAGTCACCGGGCAATGTGAACCTTCCAAAGCCTGCAAGAGGCACTGTGCATCCTTGCTGGCATCACCAAGCAAGATAATTGGACCTCTGGTGGTCCTTGCAGGGGTAGTGAGATAGTACCTGGAAGGGAGCCAGAGCCAAGTGACCTGCCAATCTTTGGGCAATGGCCAGCTCCTGCCACTGCCTCTGACTATCCTCAGTCCTCCCCTGGCTCTGCTGAAGGAGAGGAGCCTGCCCATGGCACACCTCCATTCAGCTGGGGCACTGTAGTCTGTTACCAGGCCGTAGTGCACATCTGGCCTCTTTGGGTGCCAGCCCAGGAAGGTGGCTTGTAGAGATGTGACCTCTTAGAAGGTGAGCCAGCATTTGGTTGTGACAGATGGCTCACAGTAGGTGCCCCACTAAGATGTGGTGGGTTAGGCTTGGGTAAAACAGGGTTGGCAAGACACCCATGTGCCTGGACATCTGCTGTTTGCACATGACCTAACCCAGCGATTCTCAGGGTATTTGTCTTGCAACACCCTCCCTTCCTAGAGAGGGTAAGAGAGGCAGGAGAGCAGGGAGGAACAAGGGCACAAGCACAGTCATCTGTCCACTGATCTGCTGTGAGCATGTCAGGTGACAAGGAACTATAGATGTTTGATAAAAACAGGCTCAAAATCAGTCCAGTGCCACAGCTCCATGGTGACTCTGCTTCACACCAGTTTCCACCGTGTGTGTGTGTGTGTGTGTGTGTGTGTGTGTGTGTGTGTGTGTGTGTGTGTGTATAGATATAGCTTCT